CCCACAGGTGTATTTCCCAGGAACATGTAGGTGGGAAGTAATCTTCCCACGGCCCACGAAAGGGTTAATCGAAACTTAAACACTTATTTCTTTTTAGAGAATGGAACTTATTTCTTTTTAGAGAATGAAGAGTTCATAAAATATTACATCAAATTCCCATTTTAAGATATGGTTTCCTTTATTATGGCATATTTATTGGCAAATATGTATGTGATGGGTTATCATTTGAATTCTTTCTTACTTCTTAACAGGCAGGAGGGGCAGAAAGACCTGCCTTAATCGAAACTTAAACACTTGAACTTATTTCTTTTTGAAGAATGAAGAGTTCATAAAATATTACATCAAAAATATCCTTTTCTATTTTAAGATATGGTTTCTTTTGATTTAAGATGTGGTACTAAATTTGGAAATTTATTATTATTTTGGCAATAATGCGATTTTTTTCAACTTTTTTTTTTAAACAAACGTAATAAAATTGATAAATATCATTCAAAATAATGATAACGCCCACCAGCGGCTGAGCGGTTAAGTTGCTGAACACTGGTAGTTCGGTCCGAGGTTCGAATCTCGCGAATGGACCGGCTGCATAGGCATTTTCGTTGTTTTCCTCATGTGTAACGTGTATACGAGCAAGTTTCCCTTAGAAAGTCCTCACCTTAGGCAGATAGCCCTCTAGGCTTTGCCATAATCACACACACACACCACACAAAATAATGATATATTAAAATTGTTATTAAGAAATAGCATTAAAGTAAGACATTTTTACTTAGGAATATTTTGATTTTGAAAAATTAATAATTGCTAAGAAACATAGTTTCCGAAGTGCTTCTTAGCAAAAGCTGCTGTAGTTATTTTAAAATTAATTTCATTTTTCTTTAGAGTTTTTTCCCATGTATTTATTTCAGAATATTCAAATGTGTATCAGTTTTCTCTTAGCAATATACTTTACACTTTTCTTTTTCTGAAACATTTTTATTCAAAAATATTGTCTTTTTGCTCATACAGAGTTTGCAGAGGTAATTTTTAGACCTTACATCTCATAAGGTTTAGAAGGAATTGAAAGCAAGATTTATAGACAGATTGTTTCAGAAAAATGTTGAAGTTAATTTCATTGTAGATGTAAAAAGTTTATTTGAAAAATAATTCAGTGCATTTTCTTTAGTCCTTATTGTTTGTCCCTTTCTCTTTGCTATATTCTGCCTTTGTACAGGGTGGTTATAATTTAAGTGCCCCTATTCAGACCCCTGTAGAGCCCGGTCTGCATATCAGATTTTTATGAAACTTGGTATATATGTTATGTGGACTATGGGGAAAAGATTTCTGCAGTACAAAAATATTTAAAATTTTGACCACCAGTTAGCACGAAGCTATAAAGAGACCTGCAGTCAGAGCCAGAAAATTATTTCTATGTGCCTTTGTCATTGTTAATCATGCCCTTACCGAAAAAAGATCAAGCTTTACTGGTAAACTGTTTTATCAGAATGTCTGCAATAGCTTAGTTGCATTGCCTAAATATTGTTGTTTAAAGGGGATTGCAAAAAGGGCCCATGTTGAAGAATGGTTTGAAGAAGATTATGAAATTTTTTTATTACAGAAATCATTTCCCATGGTCCATATAACATATATACCAAATTTCATCAAAATTCAGTAAGTAGAACAGGTTCTAGAGGGGTCTGAATAGAGTCACTTTAATTATAACCACCCTGTATATTTCCTCCTCTCCACTGATATATTTATGAGTAAAAAGATAATCCCAGCTGCACACATTGGCAGTATGAATGAATGTGTACCTTATAAAAAATAAAAAATAAAAGAGCTCTAAAACATAAAATAAATATTTTTAACAAAATTAAAAATATTTATGTTTTAGATTTTATGTTAATATTTATGTTTTAGAGCTCTTTTATTTTTGCTATTATTTTGTATTATTTTATCCATCAGTTTCTTGAAAAAAATGGGTAGTAAATGATTTAACACTGGAACTGCCAGTAAGTCAGGAAAAATAAAGCATATTATGCTCACAATTTTACTAAAAATACTATTTATTTTTACTACATTTTACTAAAAAAATGTAATAGTTTTGTTCTCATTCTTAAAATATGAGAAAGTTGTGGCAGCTATTTATATGTGTATAATTGCAAATTTATTACAAAATTTTTGCTCCCTTTCAGCATGTTGCTCCTTATTGATTCAAAAATTAACAAAATTTAGAAAACATGATTTGCAATCCACAAAACCTTTAGTGAAGGTTCTGTTTATGTATTTGAATGTAGGTATATTAAACAGGAGAGGTTGCAAAGGTCACTGAAAATTTGTGTTGAGATGTTGAACATTTAAGGAGGGAAGTTTTAAAAAATTGCCAATTATGATAAAGTATAAATCATTGTTTTCTTAACACTAAAATTTGTTTTAGATTTGGAAACTTTAAAAAAAAAAGTCTTGAATTTAGAACTTAGATTGCAATGAACTCAAATTATTGAGCTACTGAAATATTGCATTTGGATGTGGTATTTTGAGTCTAAGTAATTTCAGTGTACCAACTTTAATCAAAATAATGTAAAAATTTTAACACATTTCAAAGGTATTTTAAGTTATTTCAGTTTCATTTGTAAAACAATTTCTGAATAAACAAGCCAATGTATTGAAAGGAAGCAAAAATACTTATTTATCAAAATATTTATTCTGATATTTCTACTTCTTAACAAAAAACTGGGGTCAGCTGTTTCTCAAAATGCTTAAAGTATGCTTCTCTAAAATTAATACTTATCAAGTTTGGATTAAGTTTAAAAGTTTTATTGTCTTTTCAAAACATGCTGTTCGTCGAATGTTTTATCTGTCTTAAAATGCATGTAGCTTGTCAATTGTTCAGTGGATAAAAATCACTAAATATTGTTGACTTTATTTCCTTTTCAGGTAATATATTATATCATGATATATTATATTATGATATTTTTAAGCTTTCATCCATATGTAATATAGACAAATTCTTGCTATCAAAACGTATAAATTCCTTTTCAGAAGGTCTGTATAAAGATAGCCCTTCAAAGTATAACCAATGGTAAATTTATCAAAATTAGTTTCCTTTGCATCTAGATTAACCAGCCTATATTTGATTTCTTCCCCCTCTCCTACCTTAAATATTTTATTTGAAAAATTTGTTTAACCTATGAAATTTCAATGCAAATGATGTATTTTTATTTTGCTGTTTCAAAAAGTTTCTAAAATTAGATCATTGCTATGAATATGAACTTTTACTTGTTAGAAATGGTTAAGTCTGTGATACTTCTTTTAAACTTCTCCACCCCGTATAAAGTTTGATTAGAAGATTTTTACCCCTTCATGTTTGCTTCATTTAATTGTTCATCAGTTAACTGTTTTTATTCATTTAACCCCTTTGTGTCAACTATCATGCATACATGCCACCAAAAAATACACTCAGTTCCCGGCCGGCATGCTGCAATACCAGAGAGTTTTCTTGTTCACCCCCAGTTGTCACATACGTAGGTTGGGACCTTTAACATACGGTACCCACCACGAAGGGATTTTGCGTAGCTGTAGCTCATTACGCAATATCCTGTGGACGGTGTGTTTCTCGATGCCCCTTGCCATCTCTAACTCCAGTAACGTCCATCATCTGTCTTCAGACATGAGGTGCTCAATGACGGCATGTGCCAAGTCGATCCGCACACTCACCGGTCGTCCCAAACGTTGCTCATCACTGGTTGACACACGTCCTTTCTGAAACTTTCCTACCCACCGTGCTACTGTATGGTATGGTAGGGCATTATTCCCAAGGACTTCTACTAATTCACTGTGACATTCCATCGCATTTCTCCTTCAGAGAACGGCTATTTTGATGTAAGCACGCTGCTCAACACGGGTTACTTCCATCTCGCACGACACTCACCAACTGATGACTGATTTCAGAGCCCTCGCGACCACAGAGCCATCTGTTGTTCTGCATACACACTATGCCTGCAGAACTTCCACGCGAATCATATACGTTTTGTGATCCATTCATATATCTACAAGAAAAAAATAGTTGCCATGACTTTTGCCCCAACCCTCGTATTTGTGCCAGTGTCCTGGAATGTTTTACAGATCACCAGATGGCATCCTGTATCCATTAATTTGAACTGAATATAGTTTTAGGATTCCTGACCATCAGTTTTATCACATTCTGGTTAACGTTGATGTCAGCTGTTGTAGGGGAGGACAGAAAGCATACTGTAAACAAATTCGCCACATGATATAAACATTCGTATTTCTGATATTCCTCCAAATCCTTTTTTTATTGTTTTTTAATCTACTTTATAGCATCTTTTTTTTAAATTATTATGTGAAGTTCTGTTAAGCTTTATATTGCTTTCAGATATATTTTACGTTCTTCCCTTTTTTAGAAAGCTTTGGCTCTAGTTTATTATGGGAAGAAAGAGTTTTTATCAGAGGAAGGATATACTCCCATAGTAAATGAATCAATTAATGACTTGAATGAGAGTGATGATTAATTTTCTATAGTGATATTTCTAGTGATTCTGATTTGTCAGAGTTTGAGCTCTCTGAGTGCCTGCCTTCCACTTCCCGTGAAAGATTTTGTTACATTTCTTGTAAATAGTCATTTTTGTACTTTTCAAAATTAATTTTCAAGTTTATTAATGTGTTTAGTCAATTAAAATTTCAGAATAATTTGAATAGCCCATTCTAAAATTATTTTTAAAGCAGGTTTTTTTTTTAATATATTTTCTTGTAAAGTGGGAGGGAAGACCCTTAAATGCTAATTATAACGTATATGATAGCTTAAGTAATAATCTAAAATGGTACCAAAAATTATGACAACCTTTTTTTATGATTTTTTCCCCTAAAGTTGAGGTTATCAGCGCACTGTAAATTAAGTATAATTTTATCATGTAAAGGATTCAAAATATTGCATATCAATTTTATTGGTAGTTTAACTTCTTCAATTTTCATTGTATGTAATCTCCTAGTCTGCATATTTTTAGGAGGTGTGCACTCTTTACCTAGCTGTAAGGTATACTGGTGATCATATGACAACTGTGAACTTCATTGGATTGATTGTGTGCCTTATTGGAATTACACTTCATGTAGTATTGAAAGGTCTTCATTCCAATGGTAAAAAGATAATCTTTTCTTTAATAATTATCAAACAAATTTATGGAAATCTAAATTGTACTTTGTTTAAATATGATTTCTGAAACATATTTTAAAAGCATAATTTTTCCGTATATAAAAGTGAAAAAGCTGAATATTTTAAATATGTCTGAAGTTATTTAGTGCAGTTATTCAGTAGATGAATTAGGATGGTGGAAAATAAAAATGATTTCCCATGTGTGAAAATTAAATTATCTATCAAGAAGATATAATTTAGTTTGAAAGTAATATATGTAATAAAATTATCATGTAAATCTTATTGCATTTATAGAAAGAGTGTTTTGCATTATATAATACCATAAAAATAACTGTTGGGCTGTAAACTATTAACAAATTTTTGTTGAAAAGCAATTTTAAATGTTTTCCTTGTGTATGCTGCAGAACATGCTAAGATTAAAAGTAAATTTGAAATGAAATTCACTGATTTTAATGATGCAAGTAGCAAAATATACTATAATTTTACATGTTCTCTTTTGCTAGCATTAAGTGTGCCATCAAATGGCGTGGAATATTGTTTAGTAAACATCTGAATTAAAAACGCTATGCATGTTTATATTTTTTAATTTGTACAATTTCATTTTGGCTGTCCAGCAGAATAAAGTAACAAATGTAGTTTTGTTTAAAGTTCTTTCTACTTGAAATTCTTCATGTCGATTTTAGCATGATTTTTGCAAAAGGGATTTCATGCATAGTTTGTAAACCGCCATGCTTTTGTGTTTCTTGTCTTTTGAATATTAAAAATAGCATTGAATATTATTGGTAATGACAATTCTCTAACAGCACAGAAGATCAAAATATTCTGGAACTTAATGCTGTTCTTTAAATTAAGATACCATTCAAAAATCAAACTAAAATTACTTCTTCTAGTTTTTTAAGATTTCATATAATGTATGGTCATAATTCTTTCATGTAATACAAAACTAGTTAATAGTTAGCATTGAGCTTGTGTGGTGTGTGTTGAAGAAAACAAACATTGCATTTTACATCACTGACTTTTTTATATACCTATGGGATATTGTTGTGAGCTACAGGATCACTGATGTTCTTTAAATAATGAATGCAGATAAACAGGAAGAAATGAACAATTTATTAGGAAAATAACCTCAGTATGTAGTGCACACAGCATAGTGGTTGGTAATAATTCAAAGTGAATGTGGATATTTAACAATTCCTTCTCAGCACACAAAATTAATTGCAAAGTTCCTCAAATCATTCCTATGACATAGTTCAGCTAACTGCTGAATCACACAGCTGGTCTGCAACTGAACTCCTTTAGCTTTGCAACCCATATTTGTACCCTGTAGCATGGGAACTTCAGAAAAAATTGGTTGTAGTGCTTTGAAAATGTGTTTTTGTGGAACTTCCAGGAAGTTGCCAAGATAGCGAGAAATCACCAAATATCACCAATGCCCCTTAGGAATGAAACTACCTATATCTTGAGTTCTTTTTGTTGTTGTTTTGTTTTTAATAGTGAGCTTTATCCATTTTTAGGCTTTCTTCACAATTAAGGCCAGAAGTGGTGGTCATTTTATTATAGAGGCACCTAATAGGTGGCCACCCTTACCTCCTATGAGGAGACAGACAATTTCACATCCATGCCTTCTCTAGGATTTGAACTCGGTCTTTCTGTTTCTCCTAACCACTATGCCGTCTGGGTAGCATATCTTGAGTTCAAATTTAGCTCCATTTGCAATTCTAAAGCTGTTGCATTCACTATTAAAAAGAACTGCAATTCTATGCAAAAAATAAACACAATATGTGTCCACCAATTAGATTAAATACAAAAGAAACAATAAAATTACCATTCAAGGCAATAAATAAATAGATAAAATAATGCAAAATATTACAACACAGAAAAACAAAAACTACAATCAAAAAATAAAATATTTACAACACTAATCAAGAGTCTTGCTGTCTTCAGTATTTTCATTGTAAATAAGAAGCACATTGTATTTTTAAATAAAATTAATGTTTTCTGTGTATAAAAGTACATATATTTTAGGTATTTTGGGGTTCATAGGACTCGATCATACCATGAGCATTGAATTTTTACCATATCTGGAAAAGATACATTTCCAGTGACAAATTAAACATTTTTTTATTTTGAACACAAAAACTCGGAGTGAAATAATAATTAAGAATTTGGAGGAAGAGGACTGGAAATGTAATTAATAAAGTATTTCTCTGAATTTTATGTATTTAAAATTTTGAACTTTATTAAAACATGAAATTATAGGAACAATTTCATGCTGCGAATCTTCGTGGACTTTTATGTAAATGCAACTGCAGTTTTCTTTTACTTTCAGTTTAATCTACTTGTATCTTTTCAGTAAGTAATATTCAGATAGATAAAGACAAATATTAAATGCATTTTAATGAAAACAATATAACATAAAAATCTTGCTGATTTCTATAAATAAATGCAGATGGTATGTTAATGGACATAAAAAAACTTTTACTTTCAAATTTAATCAAATATCTTTTTCCTTAAACAATATTTTTAAAATTTTGAATATTGTTACAATTTTGTTAAAATTGTTAATCTGACATTTTTTTAAATTCAAATATTTTAAATATTGCATTAAAATGAATATCTATTTGATAAATTTCATTGAAAATAAATCCATGTGAAAGAAACTTAAACAGAACAAAACAGAATGATGCTCAGATATGGATCATTATCACTTTTAATCTTTGCCCAAATTAGAAATGATTACCAAACATTTTTAATGTTAAAATTTAAATATACCCCCTTGCAGTTTTTGAATAAAAGATTGTATTATTTAAAAAACATTAAAGTATGAGTCATTGAAGTATGAGATAATTAAATGAAGATGCACTAGAGTGGGAGGAAGAAATTCATTTTAGTAACATCTAGAAAACCAGCATACTTCCCCACTCACTTCCATCTTCTTTAGTTTTGAAGTACTATCCCTTCTCTTCTGTAATTTTGGAGTAGTATACTTTCTTGCAGAAAAGGGATAATTAAAAGGGGGGTTATGTGCCTAAATTGTTACTTTGAAAGTGTATTTATTTTATGCATAGAGAGACTACATTGTTACTTTCAAGTCAAGTATTTGCTATATGCCCATCTTTTGCACACAGCTAATTTTATTCATATATACTATTTAAAATGTCAGGCTTTGCAAGCCTTTATTTCCAGTTTGGCTTCTTAATCATCAATGTAACAGGGTTGCTAAATAAATATCCAGGAATGATAAATAACTGGAATGTTTTTATAATATTTTAATTGCTCTCTTTTAATATATTTAGATTTATTTTGTGTGTGTATAGTTAGATTTATATTCAGTTTGTATGTGCATGCAAACATACACACACTGTGGCTTTTTTTAACATGGAGCTCAAATATTTGAAATTAATTGCAAAATTGCTTCTGTTGGTTTATTTGGCAACCCTTATGCATAAGTATAAATTTTTGTGCATCATTTAAATTTTGGCTTGCGAATAAAGGCTTGCATGGCCAAAGATCAGTGCATGTATTATATAAATTCTGAGCTTTAACTAACCTGTCTTCAGGTAAAGACTCTTCTTCTGTGAGGGCCTTCCTGGTGTCCTGCTATCTTAACTTTCTTCATTATTTCTCTGCTACTGGATATAAGGTATTCCTATTTTCTGATCTTCTTTGGGGTTGCCAATTTTGCTTTTCTCTTGATTTTAATACGTGTTTCTTTCATGATTAACTATTTTTACTATATTGCTTGTCTATCAATTAAACCATGTATTTATTTACTCTGTGATCATCTCTCCCTATATAGATTTGTAGTTGCTTAACTTGTAAAATTAATATTTTCATGTTGTTTGTCATCATATACGTATGTAGGTATGTAAATGTAATACTGTAGGGAAGAAAATAATAATTGTTAGTCATTTGTTTAGGATAACTTTCTCATAAAAGACAGGAATTCAAACAATGAAAGTCCTGGCTGTTTATTATTATTTATTTATAAAATAAATCCAAACAGCCATTTTTGCAACACAATTCTTAAATTTTCTCAAATCTCTTGAATTTTTCATAAAAGAACTATGAAAATAATAAGAAGAAAACAGTATTTTAAAGTTTTTTAAGTAAAATTTAAATCTGAAATTTGCATTTAATGAAAGAAATTGGAATACAGTTTTTAAAAATTCTTGTAGCTGTGTTTGTTAAGAGTATATAAATGGAATGTAATCAGTGAATTTCTATATACAGTCAAAAATCTTTAATCCGGACGTCCATAATCTGGAATGATCTATAATCCGGACCTCAAAGCTACAAACTTTTCTGCGCATGCATAAATGCATTGTGCGTTTATGCATGCCCATAATACCTTTACGCATGCACATTTAATATATAACGAATGCTATAAGCTAAGCTAAAATTATCTAATTATCTGTTTCAGTTAATGCTGCAGATCAAAAAGTGGAATTGCTGCAAAAAATTTATAAAGGGCCTTTGTTTCTCTAACCATTCCAAAATCTGTTTATCAATTTCATGCTGCTCTGCAGGGGGGGGGGGGGGGACGTCGCGGCGTGCAATGAACTGGAAGTTGATCTGTCAGCACTATCCTTATCTTCAGGGCAGATGTTTTTATTTTATTCGGCTTATAATTCCATATCAAATGTAGTATTTCATCTCGATGTACTCCGTCTTTGATATGATTTAAATTAAATTCCTCGTCATTATAAATATCACGAATACACATTAAATAGTTTTCTGGTTGCAATTTTCTAATTTCGACTATGCATAATGTATGCTTTACGCATGTGCGCATAGAAAGAAATGTTTAATAAAGTAAACAAATAAATATTAAGTTTTTTTTTTTTTTTTTTTTTTTTTTTTTTTGTAAATTTTGATGCCCTTTAGATAAAGTGCTCTTTATTTCTTAAATTATGGTTTTATATTTTTAATTTTATAATTTCTGCATGCCATCTTACCAGATTTAAACTGATGTGTAATCCGGAAAAACCAATAATCCAGAATAGCAGTAGTTCCGACGAGTCTGGATTAAAGACTTTTGACTGTATTCAGAACTTTTGACTATTGAGGTTCATTTTCTCAATATAATTTGACAAAATAAATATATTTTAGTTTCCAGAATCTTTTAAAATCAAAGCAAATATAGAAAAGGATGGATTTGTGATGCAGATAAATGCTAAATGAATAATGTTAAATTATCTCTAGAAAATAAAGTGTATGGTACTCAAAGTCACCATGAAATAATTTTAGTGATCCAGGACAGCTGAAATTGTAACAGCACATTACTTTTTCAGCAATCAATTTATCAAAATGTCAGTAAAAATAACCTTTCCAAAGTTTTTAATTAGAATGTTTATCTTATAGACCCTTTTCTACGTGAAAAGAAATTAGTATTGTGTAAAAGCATATTGGATGTTGCCTTTAACAAAAAAAAAAAAAAAAAAAAAAAGGTGCTCTAAAGATTATAGAAGTTGTTGATAACGTTGCATTCTTGTTCACCCACTGCAATACACTTGCAAGTTTTATCAATATTGAGCCAATTTTGATTTAAAGAAACAAATCTTAATTTTCCTTTAATTTTTTATGTCAAAAAACTGACTGTATGTCTAAATTTACTCTTACATTATTGCTGTTATTGTAATCTGTTTAAACTTATATTAACAGGATTTAATTTGAATGGATAAAGAAATGTAAAAATTTTAAGTAAATTATGAAATTTTAAAAATGTGAACTATGTATTTTAGATTACAAATAATATAATTTTTTAAAGTCAGTTAACTTAAGTTTTATATAATAAGCATTTTACTTAATTCTAGCTCGGTTAAAAGTTGCATATTCCCTCCCCATCTAACTAAAATAAATCTAGTGCTCTAAAAATAGTATGTAACAGATTTACTTTCATATTGATTTATTTTCATATTATATATAAAGAATTAAATCAAAATGATAACTAAACATCTGCTATAAATTTCATAGCTTTTGTTACACATTTGGAGATAATATATAGGTTTCGGAAACCTAGTAAAAAATATAGGTATGTACGATTAGTTAATTTACATTTGACGCAGTAAATAGTATAACTTTCTTAAATATTTCTTTTCATTACTTGGATTTTAAAGATGAAAAAGAATATGAAGGATGGCAACGACTACTAGATAAGAGTGGTGTTGATCTTGAAGAAGAGGAGGAAGATGTCATATTTGAAACAAGTTCCACTACAAGTTTGTGATAACAACGAGAACTAAGTCTGAGGCACATGCTTTCTATTCTTCCTGCGGAAGACTTATTGCTCAACCATTATTTCTGTATATAAAAAGATAAATTATTCTGTAGAATGTAATGCAGCTATCATTTATTGTGAAATTTGCTTGAACCTGTTTGTTATTTCTCACTAGTTCTGCTAGAGAAAGAATCAGCACAGGATAAACAGTAATTCATCAGCTCATTATATGTAATTCTTATACATTGGATATGTTCCAGCAGTTTATTTAAATCCTTCTGTTTTTGTTATCTTCTCAGTATTTACAAAGAGCTTTAATTTTTTGATATCCATATTTTTTATTTTAATTCAAAATAATTGTAAATTTTAGTAGTACAGATTTTAGCACCAAATGGATTACATATTAATTTAGAAAAATGGACATATCATTTGGCACTGAGTTTTATGTTGTGTCAATTACCTATTAATTATATATAGTTTTATTTTAGTAAATGTTTGCACAGAAGAATACATTGAGTTTCGTTTTGTGAAAGCATTGGTTTATCACAAAGCATGTCAGGAAATATGTATTTATTAAACAGAACTATAAAAAATAATTTCCGTTTTTACATTAAATAATTTTTGAAGTAGTCAGGGAATGATTAGCATAAATAAAACATGTTGAAAAGGGATTTAAGAATTTTATGTACCTTAAATAGCTTTTCTGTAAAAAAAATATGTTGTTATGAATTATGCAGTGTATATATATTGGTATAATTTGTGTTATTGATTTTAAATAATCATAAAATTATTATATTTTACTGCTGTGATATAATTGAAATTGAAAAACACAATCATTTCTATATAGCATTATAAATGGCTTAATGAAGACAGTCTTCAGCTTATGGCATTCTTTCAAGTCTCCCCAATATTGACATTCATTTATTATTCAGAGGGGAAAATAAAACTCTTGAGAAATTTTCGAATGAATTTGGAGTTTCTTAAAATATGCAGACTAAGATTTCAGCCCTGTAATCTTTAGTGGCAGTGAGACCCTAAATTAGAACTGGGATGAAATCATTTAAAATGTATAAAATTTGAAATAAAAAATTAGTTTTTTTTAGAAGCTGAATACGTTGGGTATGAAGAAATTTTACTTATTGTGAAATAGCATTAAAAAAATAAAATAATTTTTGTTTTCTCTAATGTTCTTGCAAAAAAAATTTTTTTTAACTAAAATTGCTTGGAAATTTCTAACTTTTTTGTATTTAGAGAAGTATAATTTAAACATCTTTTGTTGTTGCATTCTGTGTCTACAGTATAGATCACAAACTAATTGGTCACAAAAAATGATTTTTATATATATATATATAAAATTAATGTGCTTTCATGTAATCTAGTCATCAGATAAATATTTCGTTGTGCCATTTCTTGCTGAAAGTAATTAGCAAACTATTATCAGAAATATATTTAAGTTAAAAAAATAGTATAATCCAGTATGTGTATTTAATATATTAATAAAAGCTTTAATTTTCCCCCCAATTTTAGTACAGAAATTTTGATCTTGCATGTAAAATGATCTGAATGCATTTGGAATTATTGCATATATAATCTTCCTTAAAAAGTATTTATATGAAAAGTCATCACACAATGATTTAACATTTCATAAATCAATTTTTCTGATAATTATTAAAAATTTTACTTTAGTAAATTTAAATGCAATATCGATTTCAGATTTTTCTCTTCAGAGATTACTCTCTTTATTGCTATATTTTAAAATGCTTGTCTGATGTTTCAGAAATATTGTGTGTTCATAAATGCAGTTCACATTTCAAAAGGCTACATTGTTGGTCAAAAGAGTTCAAATTGTATATGAATGCTTTTAAGGCAGTGGGATTTTTGAAGGAATAAAGAAAGAAGATCAAAAGCATGCTGTGAGTGAGTAAAAGTAGTGCTTTCACGGTGTAGAGGGCTAAAAGATATGAAAACATTTACTACTTTTGCAAAAGATGTTCTCCCAGTTTTTCATCATTTAAACACTCTTTTATTGTCTCAAAACCAAAATTCTGGTGGTTCATGACCAGGAATTATCTCATTGGTTGAAAATTTACAGTTGATACTCTGTTTCCAAAAATGAGTTTGAAGCAACTGCTTTATTTCTATTGTTTTATGCAGAGGAGCTGTGCCACCTCTGAATTCAGTTACTGAGGCAGTTGAAATCTTGAAATTAGATTTTGCAATACTGTTATATATTGCTGAGCTCAATATAGGAGATAAAAAGACTTGTAGTCCAGTAATGAATACTATTATAAATCAGTACCATACATTAACTTTTGGGAAATTAAAAGTAATATCTTTGTGCACTTGTAAGTTTTCAGTGCCTAAATTATAAAATTTTGCATATTTACTGCACCTTGGAGAAGAAAACAGAGGAAGTCTGTTCAGAATATATGTTTAATTGTCTATTGGCAATTTCCATCCAAGCAAAATATTATTGTTTGAATGTTTCTCATAAATTTTTGTCAGAATAAAGCAACTACTAAATATAGATAATTTTACAAAGATTAACATTCTTAAAAGATGTAGATTGTGTTTATAGGTTTGCTTAAATACCATGCAGAAGAACAGTCATTATGATTCAAAATCCTGATTTCTGACCTACACAATGAGACATTCAACTTAAATGTTTATTTTGTAGTATTTTTTTAGCATTTTCTTACAGGTTAATTTTGCATGCTTGCAGATTTTGACAGCTGCATGGACCATGGTGGTATCAACCTTGAAACATCTGGGAATACATTTTATATTTTTGCTTAACAAAATTCTGTTGCCAGAATAATATTCATGCAAAACTTGAAATCATTTTGATCAAGAGTTCTTCCTATACATCCTTTTGAATTGGGAGCTTTCATAATGTGTATGTTTTTTCCTCTCATCCTTTTTACAAAATATAATAGTTTTTATAAAACGATGTGCATTTCAGTGATTAAAAAATAGTTTGGTGAAGTTACAAAGTGTTAAAATTCCAGTTCTTATGTTATTGTGATAAAAGCTTGCCATTTCATCTTGTGAACTGTATTTGGCAAATATGTGTTTTAAGATATTATTATTTAAAAACTTTTCATATTTATTATGGATTTTTGTATATAACTGTCTATTTGGACCAATTATCAATTCAAAATGCAATTTTGATAAAACTTTTATTGCTCTAGTCCTGCATGCAGATGATGGATTTTTAATGTGGTTATATAAAAATTCTGTGAATAACTTTGTAAGAAAAATTTAAATAAAAAGTAGATGATTTCTTAATTTTTAAATTTTAATTGCTATTTCTTTATGTGATATTTACTGGTTTATGTGTATATCTAAAACTAAAACTAAACTCAGTGGCATAACAGCCCTAATGGGCCAAGGCCTGCTGTGCCCGAAAATCTGCTTTCTTGACCGTGGGCCCCGGTGCACAAGCATATGCCTTGAACAAATAGTTGGCTTGACACAGGACCCCCCAGTGTTAGGTCCCCAAGTGAACTTGGTACTCATTTTATCAACCTAAGTGATGGAAATCAAGGGATGAAAGGCTGAATCGACCTTGCCCAGCCCAGGAATCAAACCCCGGACCTGTGGTGCTGCTGCGTGATGCGCTAGCCACTGCACCACTGGGCCTTATGTATATATCTATTTATATATAAAGTAAGGGTTCCCAATCAGAGGGGAATTTCATAGTTTCAGAGGGATGTGGTTAGGCTTTTATTTGCGTGTTAAGTATTTAGTTTTAGTTTATGAATATTAAAAAAAACTACTTTCATTCAAATTTGGGTATTTATCAACTTTTTCTATTCTTTTTCTTGTTTAATTTTAAAAAATCTAAATTTAAATAAATGTAGGTGTATTTTTTCAAGATTTGAAAAGGAGGGGGGAATCATGTGTCTGGCTGCGGTGAAAGGGGTGCATGGGGCAGAAAAACCTTGAGAGCCTTTGGTATATAGAGTGTATGTCTGGGAGTATATATAGTACCAGTATTATAAACTTTTAATAAGAAACTTTAGAACAGTTAGCTGTAGGGTCTACATGTGCTCCCTTATATTTATAATATATGCAAATTATACATCTGTATACTTTGAATATTTCACTGCTTTAAATCGGGACTTTTATTGATAACATACAGCAGCAGTTCCGAAACTGTGCTCAGTTGAGTCCTAAGGGCTCCATGTGTTCTTTGTATGAGTTCTTCAGTCCATTCAGGAAAATAATAAAAACGAAATGAAATTAAAGAATAAGGAACAAGAAATAGAATTAAATAAAAAAATTCTTAGTTTTTGAGAGAAATTGTAATTTTAGCAGGACCTCAGTGAAACTTTAGGTAAAAGGGCTTTGGCAATGACATTTTTTATGCAACTGAATCATAATTTTAGCAAAAAATTGTTTTGATCTCAAAAATTTTATTTTCGTATTAAAATTAAATTAAAAATATATTGTAACTTCTGAATGCATGCCTGTGTTTTCCTAGGAAACAAACCCTTGAATGACCGTTGAATCTTTTACGGCAAGAAAGCCCCCACTCGTATATCAGATGCTTATTCTCCAGGAACTGTGATGAATTTATGACAGATGGTGAATTCTTCATTTCAATGCCAGTGTCTTCCCATGGAAAAAAAAAACCTGCAGATTTTTTGGAATGATATACAGATTGAGGACAAAATAATAGGAACACCTGTGGAATAATGACATTTTTTTATTAATAGGGGGTTGGGCCACCCTTTGACTGAAGTACAGATAGATGCATAAAGGTCACGGACAATATTTAAAGGAATATTAAGCCATTCCTCCTGCTGAGTGGTCTGTAATTCTGATTGTCTGGATGGCGGTGGAAATCGGGAACGAAGTTTGGACTCCAAACATGCCCATAAATGTTCAATAATATTCAAGTACGGATACAGGGGGGCAAGCAAGATGTTCAATTGCATCATCATGCCTCTTCGAACCATTCTTGAATATATCTAGCAGTGTCGATGGGGGGCGTTGTCGTCTTGAAAAAGCAGTCACTCCCCAGGGAATACAGTCTGGATAAAAGGATGCACATGATCCCCTAGAATGCTTAGATAGTGATTCTCCCATGCAGAATAACAAATGGCCCAAGACTG